GAGAGAGAGAGAGAGAGAGAGAGAGAGAGAGAGAGAGAGAGAGAGAGGAATCTGGAAGTGGTGATCTGCTATGAGAGATGGAAGTGGTGATCTGCTATGAGAGATGGAATCGTCTGTATCTGAACTTCAAAGTGCTCAATGTTGGACAAGTCTAAGCTGGTTTTGGTGTCTCCCCTCTTTAGCTAAAGATATCATCTTAGAACAGTTTTGAGACATGAGTAAGCACATGAGATATTAGAGGATGTGTGTGAGTGTGTGTGTGAGTGTGTGTGTGAGTGTGTGTGATAAGATCGAATTACAATTACAGTGGAAAAGGTTAATTTTAAATTAAAATAAAAACCATAATGTTTTTGTGTAGTGCTAGAGTTTGAACCCAGGCCTTGCACATGCTGGGCAAGTACTCTACCACTGAGCTACCCAGTCAGCACTTCCTTCCTTCTTTAAATAGCCCCCTGTATAGCTCACATTGTTTACATTGTTGCTGTTTTGGGCCTAGGTTTCATTAGCCTGGGCTGCTCTTGATCTCCTGATTCTCTTTCTCTCGCTTTCCCAAGTGCTAGGATTGCAGGTGTGGACCACCATGCTGTGTGGTCCAGGCTGCTCTCGATTCTGGAATTATTTTGCCTCTGTCTCCCAAGTGCTGGAACTACAAGGCTGTACCTCCATGTCTGGCTCCAAAATACATTCTTCATTTAAAAACAAACAAAAAAAAGGGTGTTGTCTGAGTGGGGGAGAACTAAGAATTGTGCTACACCAACAGGAAAATGTGCGGAAGAAAAATGGGTTCTGAACCCAACACCCCAACCTCAAGACACCCACAAAAGCGCTGGGCTCAAAGACCGAATCAAAACCTGAAAAGACATCCATGGTGTGGAGGAGAAGCCAGGGGCTGGATTGTGGCAATTAGGAAAAGGCAGAACCCTCTTAGGAGACCCTAGTGCCCCAGGGGATCCAGGACTAGTTGGAAGCATGGAAACTGAGTGTAAGGGAGCTAGAGGCATCCCTTCCTTCCGTATCAAGGCCCTCTGTCCTGCATTTGAGAGGAACATTTTGGCTTAACGATCCTACTGATGCGGGACAAGCCACTGTGGATTGTTGGCCGTGAGCTAGAGGTCTGAGCACATGCAAAGATGTGGTTGAATGCATCTAAGTGGTTCCAGAAATCACCTCTCCTCTTAGCTATGGTTCAGATTTCTCATAAGCACCCCCCAAACCAGAGGATGAGGGCTCCTGACCACCAGATAATAACTTACTCCTGACACACCTTGCCTTCTGAACAAGAAAATTAGCAAGATGGGTCAGAAGCAGAGGACATATCTACTTCTCCTAGAAACTAAATCAATCAATCAATTAATAATCAATAATAAATCAAATGGCCCTTTGGAGCCTTACTCCAAGCCCACTTTGTCTTAACTGGATATTTCACCCTCCATCTGGAGTGAGGAACATTCTTCCTACCAAGGCTCCCCAGTGGTTTAGCTCAACTGGAATTTCACTCCCTGGCACCCCCTATAGCATTAGGGAATGTAGCACTTAGTTGCTTTGGCCCTTTGAGTAACATTTCCCAACAGAACCATTGTGAGACAGAATAAGCAAGCCAGTAGACTTTATTATCCATGGGAACCAGAGAGGGCTGGAGCTGGCCAAGTCTACTATTTGGAAACTTACTGAGATGAGTCCAGACAATGGGCTGAGAGGCTAAGGAGGAGAACATGACCATACTTGGGGAAGCCCCTGTGGCCTTCTCCCGTGTATAGGGCCTCGCTGCATTCTATCAGACCCTATAGAGGAAGGTGCAGTTCACAAGGGTCTGACTTTCAGTCAGAGCAATCACAAAGTGGTCAGAGGAACAAACCAGGAGCAGTTCGGAACTTCACATAGCCAAGAAAACAGCCTGGACTTGGAATAAGCATCACAGAAGTCAAGGACAAGGATGAGGGGATGGTTATTATGATAGCTGAATTACAATATGCTAAGTGTGATTTCTAGCTAGTATTTCTATACAGTAAAGTTAAAAAAAAAAAAACAGTTATCAAAAGTTCCAAAGGCAGGACTTACTAAATTCATTATGTTCTCATGGGAGTGACGTGAAGGGTATGGGGGAGGGGTACAAAGAGGTTCAGGCCAAGCAGGTGCTGCGGCTGGAGGATTGGAGAGGCTTGCAGGGGGCTAAGCGAGGGAACGTCATAGCTGTGTGATCTCATTCATTCATCTTTCTTCTGCACCCTTCAGCAAATTAGATGAAAAGAAGCCAGAGCGGAGAGAAGGTAAGCCCATCCCACCGCAGTCTGCTGCCTAAAGATGGGGCACCTCTGAAGGACATCCGATCCTCTTGACAAGCTCCCCTCTCATGACTTGACATCCAGATGGCCTTGCAGCATGCAGCCAATAGGAAACCACTTGGGCATGTCCAGATTCAGGTATCAGCACCAAGGTAACGGAACCACAAAATGGAGAAACCGTAGGCGGAGATCATCAAGAAGGCACCAAAGGCCACATGCCAGCAGAAGAAAGTGGTGGCAAACGCCATGTCATTCTCGTCATCGTCCAACCATTTATAGCCAGAGAGTGGTTTGTACAGCATGAAGCCTATCTGCATCAGCCAGGAGCCTGTGACAACGTACAGAAAGGCCTTCAGCATCCAGATCAGCAGCACATTAGGAGCCCACAGCTCTATCGTCCCCACGAGGGTCAGCAGGAACATGGCCTGGATGAGCAGCATGTGAGTCTGCAGCTCCACTCCTTCTGTGTCCTGCATATGAGACACCATCAGGGGCAAGAACAGATACATGCTCAACGCTTGGGCGCCTTGCTCCAGAACTACACACCTCTTGGGCAGCAGGTTCTGGCTGACCACATCTGCACACCCACTCAGAAAGAAGGACATGTAGAGAGTGAGATGCTGCCACTGTTTGCGGTACATGAAGTTTCTCAGGTGATGCCTCTTGGTGATGAGTATCAACTGCCAATGTATGCTGTTCAACTCTTGGGCTACTAAAATGCAAGAACTCAGTATCTTCAGAAAGCCGATGTAATACATTTGCCGTAACCTTGCCCATCTTCCTTTGCTCCAAGGACGGAGTGGTGGATATTGGACAGGTGAGTTGCATATCACAGCCCTGGAGAGAAGTGCTGCATGATAAAGTCCATAGAGGAATAAGGACAGGCCAGGAAACAGATGACCCTCAAACCCTCCCATGGATCCCAAGGTAGATGTGGTCAAAGGCAGAAGCAAAAGCAAATGGCCATTCACTCAGGGCTCTAGAACATGGCAGGAGTCTCCTAAAGCTTGCTTATAACTCCTACCTACCCATCCCACTGCATCCACTTGCAGAAGGGAAATGGTTTTGGAGGAAACCCAAACGTAGGGTGGGGTGGGTGTCATGGTTTCCGTTCTGGTCTTCTGCTCTGGTTCATTGATAACCAGCTACCCATTGGCAAACAATGAAATCAGCATGTCTCCAACACAATGCTTGGCTATCAGCTGTTCTTACATCCCATAACTTGTCTCTCTGTTCATCTGTTCTTAGTCCTTTTGCTACTTTCCTTACTTTCTTCCTCTCTTGGTCTATTCAGGATGCAAAATACTATTAATGATACCAATTATTAGACCATGTGGCTTATAAACAGAAAATATTTAATTTCTAGAGGTTGGATGTTCACAATGAAGATGCTAGAAGACTCAGTATCTGGGGAGACATGCCTTCCCACAAACAGTATTTTCTCACTGTGTTCGCACATCTTCTAAGCAGAAAGCCTCCTCTCTGGGGCCTCTTTAACTGGGGTGCCTATACCATTTATACAGTTTTACTCTTATGACCTAATTACCTCCCCAGAGGCCATCATAGTTTACAGAGTGAGTTCCAGGACAGCCAGGGCTACACCGAGAAACCCTGGAGAGAGAGAGAGAGAGAGAGAAAGAGAGAGAGAGAGAGAGATCTATTTTATTTGTAATCATTGCTGATATGAAGGAAAACTATAATTTTGTATTGATCTTCATGTTAACTCTCTTGGATTGCCATTGTTCTAATTTTCAATGATTTAATATAATCATATCATCTTCAAATTATCTCACTTCATAATACCATCATCTTGTATAAATACATGGAATTTTAAAAAAATGTTTTATTAGTACAGATTAGTTGTAAATAGTAACAGGTTTCATTATAACATCTTCACACATGCACCTAAGAATTCATGTTAATTCCCATTACTCTCTTCTGGCCTCCCCTCACTTGAGTTAAGAGTTGGAAGAGCAACCAGTGCTCTTAACCACTGAGCCATCTCACCAGCCCCGCAACACAAGAATTTTCAAAGACACAAACTTCTGATCATGACATCTCTAGACTCACAGAATGTAAAGAACTCAGAGAAAGTGTACAATACATGTTCCTTGAGATTCCTTACTGAGGGCTGGGGCCGTTGCTCAGTGGACAGAATGCTTTCCTAGCACGCATGAAACACTTTAAGGTAATAACAGTGTGAGTTTGCTGTGAAACATTTTCTCTCGTAAACACTTAGCTAGAATTTGATGGTCATGCTACCCTTCATGACAGCCAACCAAATACAAGGGTTGTCTCAAGACATGCTTTTCCTTTCCAAAGAACTCTCTAGTTAGTTCCTTTACTTTATCCCCGTTTACTTCCTTTGTTTGGACATAATCAACTCTGTATTATTAAAATACCTCTCAATTCAAATCCCCTTTTATTCCTACCTCTTCTGCAGCCAGGTGAGCTTTGAGAAGGAGAGCTAATTACACCAGCGCCTGATTTGAACTCTTCAATGGCCTTTTGAACTTAGCTGTGGCTTCACAGGCCAGATCCACCCTTGAATAACCTTCAAGGCACCTGGTGACTTGGCCTGGTCTCATTTCCAGTTGCTTTCCATGTGTGTCTGAAACTCTCGGTTAGTTTGTTTATTTCTGTCCCAGACTCATTCTGCATCTGGGTAACTCTGGTTCGTTATCTGTCCTTCAAGGCTCAACTTAAACTAGGCTACCTCCCGGCTGGACAGGACATTTCCCTGTGCAAACTGTAGATGTCTATATCACCGCCTTTGTCTCACCGTTTCATACCTGTTTATTTACTAGGAAATCTTTAGCATGTGTTTATCTTCTTGGACTCTTTAGAATCCAGTGTCAGCCTGGAGGTCGTGAATGATGAGTAAGTAGATTATCAGGTGTCCTAAAACACCTCATAATGAAGTTATAAAGACAAAACAGATACATGCAAATGTAACTGAGGCAGGAGAAGCTTGCTAACAGCAGTCCTGAAACACAGAGACTTAAAAAGCGAGACTCTGCTGACTTCCCTTAGTGCTGCCTAAGCAAACACTTTATTCAGGAGAAAAACTCTGTTCCACAGAAGTGAGCTCTTTTTGCAGAAGAGACGATTTGTCAAGCTGTTTCTTCATCTGCTGTAGTTCTTCCATGGGGGCCCTCCGCTTATCTATGTTCCAAGGCAGTGTGGGGCTATTTCAGTTATCCCTACCGTTACAGTTGCTAATTAATCAAATCGACCTGGTGGAGGCGGTGTTGGTGGCGGTGTTGGTGGCGTGCATTCCTCAATACCCACCCCGATGTTCTGGGTTCCCAAATGAAATGCACACACACGCAGCCTTACATTTTAATATGCTTTAAACAGCTCAGTGGCTGGGTCACTTCTTAAGATCCCACTTAGCTAACACCTCCCCTCCAATATTCCTGAGTTATTATTTACTAAAATCAATATTCCATCTTTGCTGTCCTAGACACAATCGGGGGCCACCAGAGGCTGCCCTTCTCCCGCTCTTACATGATTGGTATGCTCAGGCCTGATCCTTAACTCATTTCTCATCATGGCGGTTCTCTCTCCTCTTCTCCTTCCTCCATTCCTTGCCTGGAAATACTAAAAGTCCCGCCTCTGTCTCCCTGCCCAGTCATTGGCTGTCGGCAACTTTATTTACCAATCAAAACAAACTAGGGGTAGGTACCCTACCCCAGGGGAAGAGGGGCAGGTAGAATCACAGACCTACTGAACCCAAACCTGCATTTGACCTGTTGACTCAGGTGCGTAATTAATTTGAAAAGTCTTGATTTAAATTTTATGGTGGTGATGTAGTCAGAACATACAAATAATTCTGATGGGAGGGGCCAGGATAATCCTTATAAAGCAGTTGATGTTTGCTTTGAAATTGGAGGTGAATAGATGGGCATCTGGTAAGGAAGTGTAGGAGATTTCTGGTGGTGAGAATTGTTGGGGGAGAGTGCAGGGGCAGGAGATCACACTGGCAGAATAGGACAAAATAGTTTCAAGAGTTCTCAAATCTCTCTCTGGCATAGATAGCCCTGCCCAATAGGTAGGTCCCATATATCCTTGCCACCGACCTGTGTGATGAGTCCCTCTGGGCCCTTGTCACCTGACTTCTCACTAGTTGCTGATTAGTGCATCGATGAGAAGCCTCCCAGCTCCTCACCCTCAGTGACCCCTCAGGGATAAGGGGCTAATGTTTGCAATCAGCAAAGGGTACCGAGTCTCAGATCTCATGCCAAGCCATCTGGTCCCTGGCAGCAACTCTGAAGATGTGGTAAGATGTGGGTACAGGCTCCACGTGGATTCCAGGCAGCCCAAACAGCCTATGGGAAGGGGGTTTCCTCCCATGCAGATCATAAGGGAAGCTGGCTCTAGAGAAAGTCGAAAAGTAGTTAAAAGATATGAAAGGGAATGCTTGCTTGGGCTCATGCACCTCTTCCAAACCCGGCAGCCAAGAGTTCTGGCATCGCCTAGGCAATTTTGGGAAGGTCTTCCATTTTTCTCTTTTTCAGAGTGCTTGCATTCCCTCTGAATTCACTAATTCACTTATGAGTGTCAAAATTAAAACATTCTTCTCAGGGACTTGGTTTCCACCTAGATCACATGGCAGTGTTTGTACTGAGAAGTCCATACTGGTACCTCTTGGGGAACGTCTGTTGGCTATGTCTATTGGCTAATGATATGTTGGTTATTAGCCATCTAGTGAGCAAATATATCACTTTTCTTCATAAATATTAGGAAAAAACTACTATAGTGTTTGGAAACAGTATGTTCAGGCCAAGTGATCTGATGTGTATATTTGGGAGAGTCTGATATTTATTAATAAAGAAACAATGGAAAGTTCTACAATAAAGTATATCATTAACAATTTTAACATTTCACAAAGCTAAACACTGTATAATTTTTTTTCATTTGTTTTACACAAATCTATGAGTTAATGCATTTTGGATCGTTTGGGCTAGAAAGTTTCCACTGGCTTGGAAAATTTTTGTTGTTGTTTGTTCTCTTTTTGTGTGTGTGTGTTTCGAGACAGGGTTTCTTTGTGTAGCCCTGGCTGTCCTGGAACTCATTCTCTAGACCAGGCTGTCTTAGACTCAGAGATCCACCTGTCCTCAAAGTCTGATTGCTGGGCCTAAAAGGTATGTACCACCATTGCCCTTGGAGAATTGTTTTTCAAAGCAAACATTTACCAATTTAACAAGACTTCTAGAGAAAGCACACCCTCTGAGCTGTCTGATCTGGAGGAAGTAGTGATTAAGAACCAGGTTGTTTCTAGTTTTCCTCTCAGCTAAGTCTTACTGACCTTTGTTCTCAGGCTAGCAAGCACACGTTTCAAGATTCCAGCGACACTTCTCAATACCACACTCTTACAACTTTATTTTACATATGTGTAGCTGTCTTTCTGTTCCATTTCATGACTGAGGAGTGTCTTTTCCATCACGAGTGTATGCTAGCTGACCCTCCTTGTGGATTAGCTCTGTTATGGGGTGAATACATATGTAATAATTATATAATTGTATGGTCATAGACTGAAGTCTCCAGTACCACAGAAGATAATCTTATTTGGAAGAGATTGTTGCAGATATGATTGTCTAAGTTGAGGCCCTATTAGGGTAGGGCGGGGCCCTGATCCAATATAACTGGTGTCCTTATTAAAGGAGAAGATTTGGACATACATCCAGAACACAGGGACCAGCACACAAACAATCCGGGTGATATTTCTGTGGCCTTCAGAAAGGTGTGCCGGTACTCTGCTCTCTTAATTGTTGCCTCTAGAGCTAACCTTAACTTCCTGTTGTTTTTGTCACTCGGTCTTTTGTATCTTATTCAGCAGCCCTAGCAAACTCAAGGGTTGGAGCTATGTAGTCGATCAGGAACCCATCGCTGCTGAGGATGTACCGTCCTCTGTTTCTGCAAGCATCCCCTAAGTGCCACCAAACTAGTGTCGAACTTTTCATCAATATCTTGGTAGGGTTTGTGCACTGCCTAAGCATGAGTGTGGAGAAGCTCCAGATTCTCTCAGAGGCCTCCTTTGTTTGTTCCTTGGTTCCCCCTCTTTGATATTGCTGTGTTTCCAAGGGTGACTCTGAACTTCTGATCCTCCTCCCTCCACCTCCGCACTCCTGGAATTATCGGTGTGCGTCACTGTGCTAGATTTTTTTGTGGTGCTGAGGATGGAACCAGGGCTTTGTGTGTGCAGCGTAAGCAAAATACCAACTGAGCTACCTCCAAAGCTGCTCATCTCATTTTCTACCTTGAACGAGCAGAGAGCAGCTTCCTTGTCTTTTGTGAACATATGGATTTGTTTAGTCTTTCTCATGCTGAGAGGCCCATACTTCCAAGCTTCCAAATCCAGCTTTTATATAGGAATCATGTTCCCATTCACTGAGACTGGACCTCCTACCCACCAGCATTAAATGGCCACAGGTGGGTCCATTCCCACCTGGTTTGCCCCAGAATCAACCCGGAAGATTCACATCTAATTATCAGTAGTATTTAATATTTTATCCCAGGAGAACTGGGGTTTTCTTTTGATTTTGACTATAAAACAAATCTGCCCACCATCTTATCTTTTTCAGTCCAGTGTGTCTTTTCCTGAAGGAAGTGGGAGGTGGCAGGCTAGATTGTTCAGCATAGGTCCGTAGAATGGGAATTAAAGGAGTCCTTGTTTTCTAGGGAGGATGGAGGTGTTTGGGTTAGGATAGGTTTCACATTTATATGGGCCTCTTCTTCCTTCTCAGGGCAGGGTCTATGGGTGATTCAAAGTCTGGAAAGAGCTGCTTCTGGGGGCTGAAGTTCCTCTCCCATGTCCATCATTGACCTTCAGTACTCAGGGAGTCACAGAGAATCGATGCCTAGCAACTGAGTCCCAGGCCACCTAAAAGGGAGCTCTGCACCTCCTCTCTGGGGAAGAGAGACAAAGGAAACCAAGAACAGGATGTCCAAACTACATGAACCAGTGTTAGAGACAGCCTAACTATATCAGTTGAATTCTGTAATCTGTTAGTGATCACCTCATTCTTGTTAATATCATTTTGACCAGGAGAGCTAATCTGCTGATGTGACTTCTCACAAAAGGGAAAGGGGTGTGTGTGTGTGCGTGTGTGTGTGCGTGTGTGTGTGTGTGTTCCTGTTACTTCAAAGTCTTGAATGGACTCTACTTTTATCAACATAGAAAATGATGTACCAGTGACTTTGAGAGTTGACCTTTCTGTCAGTCCTCTGAGAATAAAAATGTACAGGTACATGCTTCTTAGTGTTCATAAAACCAACTTAACTGTCACCAGATTACTCAGAAGACGAGACAAAATAAAGGATGAAGGTCTTCTTTTTCTTCAATTTTCAATTCAGTTTCTCAAAGTGAGCATTGTAAAAAATGTATTTGGAAATCTTTGCCACTATTTTTAACAGATTTGTTTTATTTCACATGTATGTGTCTAAGTGTATATCTGTGTACCATGTCCATGCAGGTAGGTGCTCTCACATGGAGACCAGAAGAGGACACCAGTTTCCCTGGAACTGGAATTACAGACAATTCCATACCATCTGATATGGGTGCTGGGACCCAACCCTGGGTCCTCTCAAGGAGCAGCAAGTTCTCTTACTGCTAAGTCATCTCTCCAATCCGTGCTAGTAGTTTTTCGTCAGTGCTTCCTGCATGCCTGGCAAGTGCTGTAGCCCTTT